TTTGTTGTCTTTTTTTTTTTAAAACCCCCAAACTTTTTTAAAAAAAAAAAAAAAAAAAAAAAAAAAAAAAAAAAGAAAAAAACTTTCCTCTATGCTCTCAGAAATATAAATACTGTTATTTTTAATATTAAAATGAATCTGCTATTAGTACCTTTAACAAACACTGTGGAACATAAAACCATATAAAAGGTAGTAACTATTTTTTAATTCCAAGGTGTTTTTTGCTTTTTCATTTCTTTTAAATATTTTCTTATCTAATATTTGTCAAATTACCTAGAGAAATAAATGAATCTAGTATTAACCACGGTATGCGCTAAATAATTTTGATTTAATAAAAGGGATAATATGATTTCCGATGTTTACTGTAGTGTTTCTTGTACAGATAACAGTGTATTTTTAAAGGAAAAACGGAATTGAAGCTATTTTTTCTTGCATTTTTAATTGCCCTGCGGGACATTCCGTTTTTAAATGTACTGAATTTACTGTTCTTGGGTTCTTTCCTTATTTTTTCCTTATGCTTGAAATGTCTAACTATAAAGAACCGCGATTGGATAATGTTGAGCATGGTGTTTAAAAAAAAAAAAAAAAAGTGTTCTTTTTATTTGACTGACAGTTGCATTTTACACTATATAATAAAATTTCCACAAGGTGTCTTGTGGGTGAAGTATTTCCCGTCTGTTGGACTCCGTTGTTCCCTCTCCGCGGTCCCGGCACTCCGCAGGCTCCGGCTCCTTGCGCCGCATCCCGGGGAGTTTGGGGTGATCCGTGAGGTCAGCACCAGCCTTAATTCTAGTGAAACTCTATTAATGTCACTTCAGGTCTCTCTTGGCACTGCGACACCGAGGATTTCCATGGAATTTGCTGTAATTGTCGCTGTCTGGGCCAGAAGGATCCGTTTTAATACCGGGAAGTTTCCTACAGCCCTGTGAAGGTTTTACTGCTTGTCGAGGAGGTGGCAGCCCCTGGTTTTAATACTCTCAACTTGTTGCTCTTCTCCAGCTTTGTCTTTGTGGCTGAATCCATCCAGGACTTGCCATCCCTGCAGGTGGGGTCGCTGGAGCAGCACTGACTGGGAGAGGGATGGGGAGGGATGTGGCTCCGGCCATTCTCACCTATTACACATTAACTTCTAGTTGCGCCCAGGCCAAGTTTGGCAACAACTGCAGCCCCTTCAGGGGATCCCTTTCTTGTAAAACTGTGAGTTTTGAGCTCCTTCAACCCAAAGCAACTCCATCCACTGTTCCCAGGCAGCTGCAGGGGTTTACGGACGGGGGAAGGGAGGGAGGGAGGAAAGAAGATCCCATCTGCAAAGCCGGGAGCGGGAGGCATGTTGAGAGCCGGAAGAAAAGGAGATGTAGCATCTCTAAATATACCTCCAGAGAATCAAGAGAGACATTGAAAGATGGGATAGTAAAAGCCACTTGGAAAGAGGGGAGAGGGGGGAAAAAATGGCTAGAGGAGGGCATAAAGGCTGCTGATGGGAATTGGGAGCGGGCATTACCGAGAAGACTTCCTTCTAATTCATCTTCCAAGCTCTGTGCCAAAACAGCATTTGGCATGGTTCACAGGGAGCAATTGTGTGATAATGAACCCTAAGGTGTCCCTTAATTGAAGACTGAGGATTACAGATTGTGCCAATAGTCGTAAATGGCGCAGGATTGTGGGAGGATGCATTTTCTTAAATGTATCTGTAAGTACAGATGAGTGAGTCTCCCCAGTGAAATGTCCATACTATAAATTATGGAAATATCTCTTTCTGATGCAGCCTTTTATTGAGGGGGTGGGGCAGCACAAGAAATAGTTTGCAAGCCTTTGAAATTTGGCCTGTCATTAAGATGGTGCCTGCAAAGCTGGGTTTTCATCAGCAGTCTGGTGTCCTGAAGTGCTTGAAATGTTCCCAAGTTCACCAATTTGTTTTCCATTATTGCTGCCTGCTCGGGGCGGAGGCCACGGCTGTGGAGCTGTTGTGAGTCCACTATGGGATGGAGAGGGGCAGGGTGGGAGGCAAAGAGAGGCCTTGGCACCTCACGGTGGGCTGGTGGCCTCTGGGTTCCCCCAAACTCCAGCCCTGCTGCCATCCTGGTCTCTGGCCATCCAGGGAGTCCTGGGGCTGGTGTGATGGTCAGTCCCACCCCAGGGCTGGACAGGCCCCCTCACCTTTCCCTCTGAGGTCTGTGGGCAGCTCCTCCTGCCACAGGTGTGTGGTGCAGCCCAGAGGCTGCTGTGCTGCCTTCAAGCCAAGTCTCTGATCTCCAGGAGAGGAACTGAGTCTCCTGTTCAGCTCTGGGCAAGTTTAACCCCCAGTAAAGCAGATTAAGCCCTGACTGCACTGGGTTTTGAGGCAGAGGTGGCTTGTCTGTCCCTTTGGCAGAAACTGGATGGTGCAAGGAGCAGGAGCAGTCCCCAAGGCGCCACATAGGAGCCAGCACAGGGGCCACATTTGGTATTTTGGGGTCCATGAGTGGCAATGGGGACGGTGCAGCCTCTTCCTCCTCACAGGGGACCAGCACCCAGCACGAGGCCATGGCAGGACATTAATCCTGGGGGACAGCGAGGAGATCCTACGAGGAGACCTTCAGTTTGGGGACAGTGGAGCTGGAGCCAAAGACCATCCCAGGTGAGTGCCCCGGCGGGAGGTGCCCAGCCCAGCTCACTGGCTTCTGCTCTTCCCTGCCCTTGACAAATAACGCTCCTTCTCTCAAGGATGATCCCTTTCTGGAGGCCTTGGCTCAGGCACGTGATGGCTCCTCAGAATGAATCCCTCTCAGGTCTGTCCAGCAGCACATCTTCAGTGGGCTGGCAAGGGGATCTGACCCAAGTGTCCCACGGGACCACCCAGGCTGGCAGCACCCGCAGGCAGAGGCCAAATCCTGAGCAGACATTTATTGTGGTCCTTCTGCAAACCCTTTCTGGGCAGCAACCTGAAAAACCCTGTCACTAAAGGATCTCACTGAGTCTGTGATGACCCTGATGCTCTCCTGTGCTCCATATTCAGTGTGCCTGAACAGGAAAGGCTCTTTTGGGAGTGGAGCGGAGACTTTCAGATTACTCTAAAATAATTTCTTGAATTTTGCATGATTTGAGGACAAACTATATTATGGCCGTTGTGAGTTAAACTGAAATGACTCTTGAAAGAGACAAGAAGATGTGGGACTTTCTTTTTTCCCCTTCTTCAATTATTAAATATTTAATTGCATTGGAGGAACGGTGTATTTACAGTAACTGATGACGGGCAGCAGGGTCAGAGCAAGAGCTCGTGGTGTTTAATGTGGAGCTTTTTGATGTTCACGAGGTCCCTTCTGCACTTCTTCTTCTCCCCCAAACCTGCCTGGTTCATCCCACTCTCAGGGGGATTTTGGGGGCTGTTGGTGTTTGTAGGGCTGTGGCACAGGGCAGGAATTGGGATCTTGCAGTGACGTTTGTCAGTGTATCCTGTCAAACAGCACATGGGTGTTTATTCCATGCAGGGAGCTGCTTAGCCTTGGCTGGTTTGGACATTTTTTTCCCTGTGAGTAGCACTGGTGCAGGGTGACCATTGCAGACACGGCGTTTCTCTGCTCTCGTAGGGCTGGGAGAGACACAAAAGGAATTTCCCACAATTTTTAATGATGGGAATGAGCAGAAACTGGAGTTATGTGATGTGAAGATGAGTTGAAAGAGCCACAGCTCCGTGGTCTGTTGCTGAGAGGAGACAGTGGCCCCCAGGGCAGAGGGTGAGCAGGCACCGAGCCCCATCCTTGTCTGGGTGGCACCTCGGTGGGAGCTGGGGATGGAGGGAGATGGCAGGGAGGGACTAACCACCCTGAAGGTGTTGGAGCAGTGGATGCCCAGCTCTGCCCTGCCACCTCCCTCCAGATCTGGGGCACCACGTTCAAGGCAGGTGACCCAAAAGAGCATCTCCAGGGTTGATGTGGGGGCAGGTACCAACAGCCCCCCCTTAATTATCTTCCCACCCTGCCCCTTATCACTTGAGGAAATCCTATTTCAAGGCCGCTGTAATGAAGCCTCTGATCTTTGCAGAGCCCGGCTCGCTCCCCTTTAATCCCGGCCGGGCTGGGGTGCAGGTGCCGCGGTCCCGGGGGATTAGACGGTCCCTTCCCTTTGTGCGAGCCGTCACTCAGCGCGGCCGTGCCCCGGTGAGCCGCACGGGCCCGCGGGGCTCCTTGTTTGGCCCATTCACCAGGGAATATTAAACTTCGCTGCCGTGCAGTCATTACACGGGGCGGCTGGAGCTGCTGCTCCGTTTGTTTTGGAGAGAATAGGGTCGGGAACCGGCAGGAGCCGCAGGAGGACTCATCTCTCCCCGCGGCCGGGGTCACCTGTCTGCCGGGCAGCCCCGCTCCTGTCACCCATCCCTGAGAATAATACTTGAAGGAAAGGAACGGGGCGGGGGGGAAAGGCAAGAAAGCGAGCGAGAGCGGAGGGGAGCGCACTCGGCATCTCTGCTCGGCTCCGTGGCCTCCTGCAGAGTGAAATGGAGGCAAATAATGCCCTGGAGCTCCTTTCCCGAGCAGTGCAATCAGCCCGACTGGCTCGGAGGGGCTGC